GTACCATAAGCTCAAAATGATGTCAGGAATCTTAAGCGTTGCTACGATCTCTACCCTACATCCATATATACATACGTGTATGTGTGTGTGTGTATGTGTGTGTCTGTGTGTAAAGGGACCCTATATATAAAGAACTCGTCGTAGATCGTCTTCTAAAAAAATTGACATCTATAGTGAAAGCAACTAAGGGTTTTAGTCGTACGGAGTGGTCATGGCATCCAAAGTATTTGTGATATTTGTATTGATCAGCATTTTCGGTTGGACTGATTCACTCTGGACAACTGTACCGAAAAGTTTAATTAGTCCAAGTAAGAAACCTTTCGTGCTTATAAATATTATTCATCAATCATTGTATTTAAGGATGTTAATAAAGCTATAAAAATTATAAAAATTAAAAAACAGCAGATTCTTTAAGTACTTTTTTATTTTAATGGCAAACAAATTTTATTCGTGAATACATTTTGTATCAACTTCAAAAAACAAAGTAACTAATAATTAATTTGGCTATATAACTTATATACAATGAACATGTTTTTTCTGAAATTTTAAATAAATAACTTTTATAATATATCAGATATAAAAATAATAGAAAACATAATTTTACGAATTGATTCATAAATAAATTTAATTAAAACAATTAATTAAATTTACCAGCTCATTAATCATAATTTCTTTACATTAGTCTTAAGCTGCATCCAAACATATATATAAACTTTGATTTAATAAGCAGTAATATCAATAATCTAAGAATGAGATAATTACTACTTATCTAATTTCATAGAGTTGTTAAGTCCATTTTAGCAAAAAGCCAAAATACATAATCATTTTAATTTATCATTAGTATATGTCCTTGTCACTAATTCGATATTATAATACGAGATTTATCTCGCTCTTCTCTCTCAGACTTCTCTCTCAGAGAATGACTTTATTTGTAAACAAGTTAATAAGCAAATTGTCACCAAGTTAGCACTAAACTCGCTCAGAATTCGATGTCATCTGTGTCAGCAACGCTCATGTTTTGCTAGTAAATCCCGCGTAATTAGATAACAAATTAACAGCAAAAACCGAATAAAACTCTGGTTTGTCTTGTTTTTGATCAGTTCTTATCAATTTCTCCATCAATTTGGTCAGCAAGTTTAGCATTATTGGCAAGTTTAATTTATTCTTATGTCAACAGATTTTATTGTCCTCGCTCTAATGTATTGACATTATTAAATGTAATAGAATTTGCATCGAAAGTGCCTTTTTATCGACAAGAATTATAGCATTTGACATAATTTATTTTCGACAGATTTGGCTGACTGGATAATATATCCCATAAGGATTATCTTCAAGATTATCTCCAAGATTATCTCCAAGATTATCTCTAAGATTCTTACATTTTTCCACAGTAAGTCTTTTGTCCAAAAACAATTTGTCTGCTTTGAATAAAGTGGGTAGGACTCGACTAAGTGCCTACATTTTTCCTCGAACCTTTTTCTTTCGTGCTTCTCTCTGACCCTGTCCTTTTCTCAATCTTCCTATTTCATTATCTGTCCTTTTACATTCTATATTATACAGGATGTCTCAAACTTTTTGACACAGCGCTCGTATGCAAGTAGAGCAGACTGATTTAAAGAGTCCTGTACTATTTTACAATTTTTAGAAATATTACTTTTTAAAGATCTCATTCGGAGAAGTTAACTATTGCAAAAATTGCAAAATAACTCAATTTAGTTTACTCTACTTACGTACGTTGTGTGAAAAAGGTATTAGTACACTCTGCATATTATTACACTTTTTTAAACGAGTAAATATAGAATAAAATAAATAAATATTTATTAAAGTTTTATTATATTTAATACATGTTATTTAGTTCGTAAATGCTACTTATAATGCTACTTTATCATTACATTTTGATATAAGTGTTACAAAATACTATTGTATAAAAGACACAATGCAAACGAAGAATCAAATAATGTTTAACCTTTCCTTGGCGGGGAAAAAATTTTTACGAAAAAGTACATAGATTGAAACAAGATCTTAGAAATTCTTAATTTTTCGTAGATATTCGTAGTGTGATGGTAAAGTGGCGCTGTTTGAGAATGAAGGATTTCTAAGTTTTTTCAAACAAACGACTCCGCTCTACATCCCACTATGAATATCTAAAGAGAAACTAATAATTTCTAAAATCTTATCTCAATCTATGTAGTTTTTCCGCCAGAGTCGTATCAATTTATGAATACTCGGATACTCATTTCAAACTAAAAACTGTAAAAATGTTTATATTTTTGTACGAATTTAATTATAAAATACTTCAAATCACATTAATTAATAAAAAAAAACAGCTGTTTTTTACAGCCTTTAGCTCTTTCTTTTTTTACATTTTTAGCAGAAATCTTGCAAAACACTATAGCAAAAAAGTGAAAAATTGTAAATTAACAAAGAATTACATCAATGAAAGAATTGTGCTCTAATTTTATACACAGATACTTGCAAACATAATAATAAAACAATCTATGAAAATTGTGTACTTTTTGATAATACTTTAAGATGGGACATATATGTCCTTAAGCTCGAATGAAAAAAGAGCGAGGCTTTTTTGTTTATTTCTCGTGATTTATGTTTCTGAACAGCATCTATTGTACATTTTAAGAACTTTATATTTTGTCATATCAGAAAGCAATCATATAATGTATTTTAAATACAACATCACTACAAAAGGATGTTGCTTACTGCACACACAAATTTTCATATTACTTTATTAAGTTGAAACTGACGAAAGAGCCCCGCTCTCCCTATGTATAATTACAGGCAAATTTATAGTTTTATATTTATTATTTAATAGCGCCAAGAAATTGCGTACCAGCAAAAAAATATTTTGATGGCTGCAACACTGATATTTGTATCTTCGAAAATAGGATTTCTTGCACTAACAACCAACTGAATTGGCTACGTGCTCAACATATGATTCAAAAACAAATTGTTTCCTATCAGTGTCAGAAATTCCATCAATTGCTGATATCTGTGCCAAATTATACACTTGATTGCGACCGGACTTGCTCAGTTACGAGTTTAATCGTGTGCGATTAATAAATAATGTAATAATTATTTCTTACAAAACGTTTAATTAATATGTTACGTGTTATAAAACAATTATGAAGTCTTTCAATAATCCTTTTAATCTTGTAAGTTTTAAATTCCAAATTTTTACAGAATTTAAAATGGTCATTATGATATATAACTCAAAGGAATAAAACAATATATATTTTTATTATAATAAGATTTTACAGAAATAAATCATAATAAGTAAAAAATGTAAGCCAATGGTAAACCAACAGTGGATTGTAATATACAATGTATAAAACTTGTGCGTACTATTAACGATAAGTGATCATTACAGATATTTTGACCACAATTTTGGTCATCTTCAGTGTAACAATGAAATGATAACAGATTTTGTGTATGGACGATTATTTCTGATTTTATAATCACGACATAGCTATCTCCAGTTCTACAAAGTATCGTTTATAATAATTTAATGTAATGCTCAATATTTAAATCTGTTATTAGTTTGTTGGTACACTAAAGATGACCAAAACTATGGTTGAAACGTTTGTAATTATCAATTATTACTATATAATAATACACATATATTTACACACTACCATCGGGTGTTAGCTTTCAAAAAATTAAGTTATTAAATATTATTTTCATTAAAATAATGATAAAAAAATTTATCAAAAAATTTGCAGCTTTGAAAGTATTTTGAAACACAAAATTTGTTT